CGTGATCACCAAGTCGTCCTCGCTGACCGGAGCGCCCACTGCGTCGAGCTGTTCCGCCAGCGTCTTGGTCTTGTTGATGTGCTCCAGCACATCATCACCTTCTTCCATCATCGTGGTGAAGAAACGTCGACGAAGGAAGAGCTTGTTCGCCAAACTCTTCTTCTCGAAGTGTCCTTCCAGCCTTGACCAGGCATCATGCGCACCATTCGCCGACCGAACCAACGGCAGCTGCGAATCCTCCATCGCGAGACAGATAATCGCCAGCGCCTTGCGCGACTTCCGCTTGAGCGTCGCTTGGTCCAACGCGGTAGCGCAGTGCTCCATCTTCAGTTCGCCACTGACGACTTCCCACAGGTCGCGCTCTTCCAGCACCATCTGCATCTTGAACTTCCACGTGTGAAAGTTGGTTCCGTCGAACTTGTTGATGCGGGTGGTCGTTGAAGTGGCGTCCATGCCGTAGGCGTAGTCTTGGGCAGAGTCTGCGGGGCTTGGGCTCATAACCAAAAGGAAGGTCGTTTGTGCACTAGATGCTAAAATGCAAAGTGATTGATTTATTGGAGCTTACTCTGTCTTACGTCCTAGTCTGCATCCAATCATGTGGTGCATCCAATCACCAACACTCTGGACTCGTCCAATCATCCTGTTCGTCCAATCATCTGTTTGCGCATACATTCGTTTGCGCAATTGACTTACCGTAAACATGGCGGGGTCTTTGGTAAACCGGTTTTACTGCTATGCCGAAGCTGGACGACAACCACCACTGCATAAACAGCCATACACACAGAGACATTCACGCCAAATAGTGAGATGGTGCTCATGTGTCATGCTCAGCCTACCTTGGAAGATATGGACAGTGAAGCCCCAAACACTACAACCAAGAAATATCCCACATATGCAACATGATTTAGAATGGACCTATGGGGAAGCTGACGACACTATAACAGCTAAAGTAAAGAGCGGAGAGAGCAGCAATCTGGACATACAACTGCAACGAAAACCAAGGAGGGGTGACCTGGGACCTTTTAGAAGAGTTCAAGCATCGTACCAAAAAACTTCCGTTGTATGAAGAATTAGTGGCTTGAATAAACCGAGAAGGTCTCGCTTTTAAACAAACACAGCAAACCGCTCTCTATTCTTGGTCAGCACCAGAACTCACGAAATCAGCCAACTTGGGAATCACGATCCGTAAACAGCGAACCAAGGTATTAAAAAACACAACTTCGATACAGCCTTCAACCCACTCTCGAAAAAATAAAAAGGAAAAAAAGTGCATCAGCCTGGCAAAGTGCAGCGCTTCAACAAACTGTTTACCAGCTGTGGTCCACCCAAGGTATTTTTACAGACTTCCAAAACTGGACAATGTATCGTATCGCTCTTGGAGCTCTCAACTTGCGCCACGATAAATGGCCTGACCACCGTGAATGTCCTGAACCTACATGTCCTTGCACCACTGAAACGATAGACCACATAGTATGGAGCTGCGATAAAGCACAACATGCTTGGAAAAGATGGCTTGATCAATGGCTCGGAGTTCCAACTACCTTGACGAAAAGAAAGGCATTACTGGAACACGTTGCGTCAAGGAAGTCAGCAACAGCGACAGCAGAATTCCTGTCCGTAGCTCAGCAATGCATAACGCGATGGACAACATGTCACGACAAAGCAATGGAGATATTATGGTTAATATGGACAACAACAACCCTAGTCATACTATGGAGACTACGAAATCGTCATATTTCAACGAAATACACACATCAAAAAGCGAAACAGCCTCCATAGTCTGGGGAGCTGGCACGTACCAAGTCATGGCGGTAGCTAGCTCATGGAAGGCGCAACCATCAAAGCGGATATTGGGTGTGTGTCTGGAACTATGCCATAGAATCATGATATCTGTTCACCCTGAAATGGATATGGAACATCTGGAAACCTGGCTAATCCGTTACTACGCGAGAAATCCTCCCGGAAAAGAGTCCCAAGGAGGATGGCTAGTATACCATTTAGAAAGAGAAGACGCGTGGAAGCTCCATGTAGCTGGTAGCAACACATTTAACCACCAGCAATCCCGCTCAAAACTTGATCTACTCGTCCTCGAACAAGCAGGACAAGCCATTTGTCGTCAAGATGAGCCTCAGCGAATTATCCTATTGATTGATACCATCAATTCACGAGCCTCCAGCATGCTCAGAAAAGACTCAGAAGATAAGGCCGACTACAACGACTGCCGTAATCTCAGTGCACTAGCCTCATTCTTCAGGATACAGTGGAGAAAACCGAAGCTAGCGGCATTCACAGCAGCCAAGAAAATGGCTGCAATGGACCAAAATGCAACATATATATTCGACAATACAAACAGGATGACCCACCGAAGCGCATTCGAAGAGTATCTTCAGCGGACGGAGGAACAAATTCAACAAAAGGCAAACCCTCAGCCATACAGAAAGACGGACTCCATTGAGAACCGTTTAATAGCGTATCATAGTAAGGCTTCTATAGGATAAAAAAACATACCCAAATAGAAGGCCGTTTGAACCACCATTGGGAGTTTCAGAATGTTGAAACATAGGTTTCGGTATAGAGAGCTTCCGCGGCAGTTCGCGTCTTCGCTCCCCAAGCTCAGGCGTTAAATAGTCTAACCTGCCGTCTCCTCGGGCTCAACCGATCTGGCAACCAACTTAGGACGCGAATAGCCCCTAATTTGTAGCGACAAAACTAATGCCCCAAGTCTGAGGTACCGTATGTTACACGTATTAATAATTCCTTTTTACAAATTCTTTCGATTTGGATGTAAATCTATTACAACGACCTGCTCACTTTCAAAGTACCCAAAAAGCCACCTCTTATATTTACCGGAGGGAGACGCGCGTCGCTCTGCACCCGTCTCCGCCCAGAAGTCGGGTGCCCCAACTTGGGGCCCAAGACGGGTCGTGCAGCACACATGTTGGAGATAGATGCCGCATAGAGGGCTGCACTCATAGCACGGCGACATTGCACCAGAGCCCGCGACCCTGTAGGCTACAGTGTAGCCTGTGGCGGCGCCACAGCAGTGTCTGTGCGAGTCGTCGCTTAAGAAAATGCACATTGTCTCTTCTTAAGTGCGAAATTGAGCCTCTGTGTTCGACTCTCCATTTACTGTTTCTGCTCAGTAATTGTACAGTACACTCCTCCGCTTACAAATCTGCTTATTTTTTTGGATCATTTCTTAAATGTTCGACTCCCCCCTATTATAAATTTCTGAAGCAACTTTTTGGGATTATTGAGAAGTTTTTATTTGGGTGCGGCTTTCTCGATCTACCGTTACCTCAATCTCCGTAGTTTTGGTATTTCTGTATTACGCGTCGGTCAGCCTCTGGGAGCTTAGAGATTGAGTTGCTGTGTAGTTCAAGTGTCGAACTCAAAATGAGCTATCAGCTAAAGCCAACCCACTTAGAATTTATCTTCCTCGCACCCGGGTTTAACCTGTACCCACATACACCTACGATGTCACTCTGCTACCGCTGCTATGAGCTTAAAACCATGACAAACGACCGTGTTGTATTCGCATGTTCACCTTACTCGTAGTATTTGATAAGTTACTTTTCGATATTATGTTAAGAGCTCTTGTAATCTCTTCAGATTCTATGACGACGTTTATATTTTGGAACATCTCTGCCATCTTTCCTACGCCGGATAAAATGCATTGACTACAATCGGCACACTGAAAATCAGTGTCAAAAGCACGGAAGCGACGATGATTTCCTTCTTAATAACTGGATTCTCCTTGAAAAATTCATCGAGACGCTGGCGTTTCATACGAAACTTCTCCAAATTCTTGGCAAAACTTGGGTTATTCTGAAAGGCAGCCTTGATTTTGTTAAAACCCGGCATTTTCTGAATAGCACCCGTGAACAGTCTCTCTTCATCGTCATTAACAGTCCCTCCCTGCCTTCCCTTCAGATACCGGCGTGTCGACATACTGCTCGCTATCTCGATCGTGAGCTTCGGCTGGACAGCGGCGTTCGCTCTCGCAGTGACGCTAACGCATGCCACTACGAAGGCCACCAACAGCGCGAGGACGAAGCTTGGACGCATGATACTGGGCGAGGCGCGCTCTAATGGAGCAGACGCCGATTACAGAATGAACGGCGGGGTAACGGGCTGAAGGGATGGCGGTGGCTGCAAGAAGGACCAAGACCAGGGCATTCCTTTCCCTCAAGTGCATTTTGCATACTGTCGGCACGGTTCTGTTCTACCCAATCGTGAGGAGTTTCCATCGTTTCAAACCACGATGAGGTAGGGCACCTCCTGCGCGTCAGAGAGAGCAGCCAATTAGGCTCCACTCCATCTTCGCGTCTGCAATGCCCAATCATGCAAGAACAACATATGAGACCTGACCGACCAGAAGGAATACCGGTACAGTACGTACGGTTCCCTCAGTACTTTTCAAAGTATTATTCAAATAAACAATGTCTAAATACGTACATTACGTTGATTTACATTCACACTTCTCTTGGCATTTTTTCGCAGGTGGCTAAAACAAGTAGATTATTTTATTTAGTATGCAGGGTTTATGCAGTGGGCTATAACAATAGTATATAGCTGCTTGAGTACATCTTTAGTGGGACACGCATTGGCCTACGTCATTTTATCACCCTTCACATCGCAGTTAAAGGGTAGGTCGCACCACAGCGTCAGATTTACATCGCAGTGTTAACACGCTACTTTATGAACTCAGACTTTGATGGATTTACAGCCTCTGCCACAGATATGAGCGCGTAGCAACTTGTCTGAGTCTGAGCCGATAGACGTTCAAGATGTCGCGCCGCCGAACTGCTCGTTAGCTTGCATGAGGAGGCTGTCAAGGAGTTGGGGGAGCCTGCACTATCCACAAATGAGAATACTAGTATAAGTACTGTGGTGAAGTCTGTCGGAACAGCTCTAAGGCATGACACACTCACTGCTGCGATTGAAAGTAGCAACGTTATCTCCACGTACACGTACCAATACAAATAGCGAAGGTTAATCTCTTATAGTATCAACTTGTCACTAACGTTAGCACACCATTTGCCACTCGATTTGCTGAGCAAAATATCAATTACAGAAAGAAAACCTTGCTTCCTTTTTCAATTTTTTATTAACCGCTGAGAAATTTCAGTAAATCCTTTGTTCGATGGATTAAAAGTGACATCTATAAAAAAAACACCCTTTCGAAACGAATTAACAAGTATAGAGGTTTCACATATCGACTTATTTACAACACACAATAGCACGTGCTGTACATATAAAATCGGACACTTTAGTGATGCCACAAACTTAGAAGCTCCAGAAAATTTGATGAATCTAATCAAATTTTTATTAAACAAGTGGGGTTGGGAAGATGTCATCGAGCTCTTTATCCTAGTACCATATCGTACTCTCACGAAATGAAAATTAGAAATTGCCGTATTTTGGCTTCGACCTACTTAGTGTACTTATTACTTAAGTATAAATAATCCTTTTAATAAGTATCGTATTCAAATTGGTTTTCACTCAAGCCAAGTCTATAACATGATTTGCGCTATTGCGTGCACGTTAAATTAGAGAGCAAACTGCGGCGTAGAGCACCCAAGTCAAAATTACCTCTACATGTAGTATCCAGATTGTATTTAGTAATACTGGTACAAAAATGACGAATATTACTATCTAAGGGTCCTTTGTTAAAGCGAATGTTACTTTGGTGAGCTAACTCTTCTGGCGGAGCATCATGTTGTTTGTAAGAAAGCGCAACATCATCACGGCAAGCTCATGGGCGATGGGTCCTACTCTTCAAAACGCTCGTATTCACAACTATGGGACGCGTGTCCCTCCTGTATTTAACAAAGACAGGTGCTAGTATAGAATATCAGAGCGCTCCACGCTTAGTATAAGGACTTTGCGCACGCTCACTCTGTACAGCTTCGCATAGTCCATTGAAGGCCATTACAGCAGCCCCCCGGATAGTGATAAAAATGGCGTCTCAACTACCTTACGGTAGTTGCTATCTCAGTACTTGAATCACATGAGAAGCATGTGACTTCCCGCTGCGCTAATTTAAATTAGCTCGCGTACAGTATACTATTATTAAGTAACGTTAGTATTCGGTACCTACGTAGCTCTGCAGTGGACAGTTCTTCAAATAGAATTAATATAATTATTAACACTACTAATAAGTGCAGCGATTATAATACCGGTAGTTCCTACGTTTCTGCACTTTAAGACATTCAGTGAACCCTCCGGAATAATTATGTTGCAAAGAGTTAAAGAGGTTGGTCAAGAGACACTTCATTGTACAATGGTATTGTTCTTGGGTGTTTGCGGGATTTTATTTGAAGTGGCTGCTGCTACACTTTTTTTTGACGTCGAGGTAGACTTGTACTTGTTTATTAAAAACACCCAAGCTAATTCTTCAGTACTACAAAATACTAAAGCATACTTTTTTAGCACCTACGAAGTAACCATTGCGCTGATGCCGTAGACAACAAGCCCCGTGATCGCAGCACCAAACACGAACGTCATTATTTTCCCGAACTTGCTCGACTTCTCGGGGTTCTTCGCGATCTCGTTAGCCACTCCTTCCGTGAGTTTCGCGACTTGCGCTTCGTCGACGTTCTTAAGTTGGCCAGAGGCCTTAAGTTTTTGGAAGGCACTCTGCCACTTGTTGTTAGTTGTGTCAAGGTTCGTAAGCTTACCAGCCTGGATCTTGGCAACGGCAGCCTGCCACTTGTTTTGGTCGGCGACTGGGATCTTAATGTCATCGATATTCTTGAAATTGTTGGCTTTAAGCTTCTCGAGGGCCGACTGCCACTTGTTCTTGCCCGCCGTAGTCGTCTCAGCAACCTTCTCTGCATTCTGCAAGGCTTTCTGTGCTTTAAGCTTCTCAAGTGCCTGCTGCCACTTGTTTCCACCAGCGGCGGCGACGGCGTCATCTAGCTGTCCTGCACCCTTTATCTTCGCAAGAGCATCGTCAACTTGTCCTACACCCTTCATCTTCTCAAGGGCGTCGTCAAGCTGTCCCGCCTTAAACTTGGAAGCCAAGTCTGCCCAGCCAGCTCTCTCTTCATCTTGAGCTCTTAGAGGCTCCTCCTCTACCGAGGAGGTCTGAACGCCCTTTAATCGGCGAGCTGGATTGAGTCCATTGGTAGCAGCCGTCAGACTAATGGCGATGGTAGCAGCGACCAGAAGTAAGAGTAAGCTGGCACGCATGGGGTCACAAAATTCTGGCGATAACAAGAGTTCGGACTCCAATTCGGAAATGAAGCACGCAGCACATGAGACTCTCATTGAGAGCATGTTTGCAGATGCGTGTGTGGAAGTATACGTTCAGCTCTTCAAATGCCAAGATAGGATCATGATATCGTAGATCCTGATGATTTGTTTGAGGTCCAATGCAGTGCATTATGCACGGCGTGGCGCAGAGGGACTTCTTCCGTCCAGACGCTGCTCTGAAGCCGGGCTCCTTTCGACGAGAAGTCGAGCTGATAGCGCTGCGCTCTGCCTATTTTAAAGTACTTTTTAACAGATTTCTGCTTCAAGAATCTGTTCCGATCTCTTTATAAAACAATGACCGCCCCTGATCGGGGCCCGATATCGGTAATCGAAGAAAAAACGATGGTTCGTTGCCGGTTGTTGTGATGCTCATCTGGTACATGTAAGCGAACGTGCACTGCATAGATCGGGCAGCACGAGAGTATAGTACGGCCCGTACTACGGCAACCCCAACAGCAGTTTAAGGAGAAATCTTTACATGCCATTTTGTTTTATAGTTACTCTACTTTTAGTTTTCCTGTGGCATTAGATACATATGCTCTAACTCCTCCTGTTTGCTTTTGTAAAGCCTGTGACATTCAATAAATCCGGGCTGTACCACATGCCAATTGCTGGTTTTGTGGGCGTGGTGCTATCCATAGTATAACTATCACGTCAAACTCCCAACTCAGCTTAATTCTCCAGTGGTCGAAACGGGAAGTTAGCAGAGCAGCTTCTTAATCAGCAGCTTACTATGCGCAGATCTACGTCGTTTATCGACTGGCCGCATGAGGGAGCTTGTATCCCAAAGTGACGTGGTAACGTTGCTCTAGTGCACAGCCATAATTATTGGAGAGAAAGATAATATTGCTGTCACAGAATAAAAGTTGAGTTGGTAGATCAGAGGTCCTGGTATTGCTGCATCGCAACCAGAGCCGTCCGTAGGTGCACATAAAGATGCACCCTGCGTTTGTGCATGTATTCGGGTGCTGATGTAACATCTTCGTTTCAACGATTCCCGCATTAATGTGTAAGGTCCCGGATGGATCAATATTCACGCACATTATGAGTTCCTACCGGGATATTATACTACTCTGTTCCATCTCAAATCTAACGCAACGAGCGACCGCACAAAACTAAATGATATCATTGGCTATTATTAGGCTAAGAATAGAGATTTGCTATTTTCTAATTTGTGGCTACCAGCTACATAATACGTATCAGCTGTGCAGATAAGCATGATGTGCTGCCGTCTGATCGCTCTAACGGCAGACCCAACAAATGTTGATGTTGTCAACATCGCTATCAAATACCAGCCAGCTAAGTCGCCCGATATGAACGTACTCGACTTGGGTCTGTTTAACTTGCTACGGTCGGCTCAATACCGCACACCAACATACAAGATCGATGCTTTAATTGCGGAAGCTGAAAAAACTTACTGTGATCTTTCTAGTAGGACTATAGATAAGTGCTTTTTGACAGCACAAAAAATACCAGAATCTGTCATTGCGTGTGATACATACTTAAAAAAAATAATGAAGGGCCACCAACTCAAAATTAGTATCTTTTATTTTATGATG